AGAGTAAAAGACATATTAATAAAAAATATATGTACGATTGTACGGAACCCGGTAGTTTTATTAAGTTTACAAGGAAAAAGCACCCAATTATGAGTTCATATAATATTATGAACACAACGTTAAAAAATTCTGACCAGATTCGGGATTTAGGAGTTATTTTTGATAGCCAACTTAGGTTTGATAAACATATAAACTCAATAGTAACTGCCGCATTTAGATCACTCGGTTTTATTCTAAGACAGTCCAGAGATTTCAAAAAAGCTTCAACTATTATACAATTATATAACAGCATGGTCAGGAGCAAATTAGAATATTGTTGTTAGGTTTGGTCTCCTACTTCTAAAACCTGTATTACTAGAATCGAACGAGTTCAAAAGAAATTGATTAAACACCTGATATTCCGTTTCAAAACTACAGGACTTTCTGAATCATATGAAAACAAACTTACTTTTTTCAAAATGAAGCCATTAGTTACACGTAGATCTCTTCTTGAACTTAAGCTCCTATATAATATCTTTAATGGTAAAATCGATGATGAGAAGCTGTTAGAGAGGCTCAACATTAATGTTCCTAGAAGTCCACCTCGCTACCCATGTCCATTATTTACAACTTATAAATGTCGCACTAAGTTAGGTGGTAATGCTCCGTTATCACGTATCACACGATCATACAACAACTGCGTAAAGCGCATGACATCTTTGGACATTGGTTGTGATGGGCTCTCACAATTTATAAAAAAATGTGAAAAGTGTATTTTATAAGTTTTATGAGTTTTACAGTATTTTCTTAATGTCATTGTTAAGTTTAATTTAATTATTGTTATTTTGTTTCTTTTTGTAATTGTATTCATTTTATTGTGTTTATTATGTGTATTTAGGCATTATAAAACACTGTTTCTTTGCGAATGATGTGTTCTCCTATAATTAGTAATACATAAATATAAATTAGATTTAGGTAGCTATATTGTTAATGAAAAAAATTATGTATACTGTTGGAGATCCATATAAGTAAATAAATAAATAAAACCTTTGTGTGCGAATTCTACTCGCACTTGACCGATTTTGTTTATATAAATGTCAATCAAATATACTCCTCTTTGATATGAAATCGCTCAGCACGAAGAGCTCTTTTTATTAAAACAGTTAAAACAAATAAATTAAACTTCAACATTTTAGTACATATTTATTTCTTCATAACACAATTTCAGTTCAGTTTAGTCATCCTTTGTACACATGGTATCTGTTTTCACTTGTATGTTTTTTTTTCTGGTACATAAATAAATAAATAAAAAATAATAATTATATAATTTAATTGTATTTTTTCTTACAATAAAATTATGGTTGGTTTTTGTTTATATCACTTTCACGTCATTCCAATGCTCTTGACGTTGATACTTAATCTATAAAGTACACAAAACTGCGCTAAAGTTTGCACTGACATTGTATATTTTATATAGAAAATCAAATATTTACTGATTTAATTAAGATAGTGATTGTTCTTTGAAAAAGACTCCTTGTGTTATATACGTGTAAGTACAGTTTATTGTAAATATCGTTTTAAGTTTGCTTGGTTTCATTATAAATTAATTAGTATATTTAACCGATTCAATAATATTTTTTCGTTGAAAAATTTTCGTAGCATATTACCACTTAGGGGCCATTAATTAATTTCGTAAGGAAAATCTTGGCTATATTGACCCCCTTTGCCCCTTCTTCTTCTTCTTCTCCCTGCCCATTTCCCAAATCACTTGGGGTCGGCGCAGTACATCTTCAGTGTACTGCTGATAGGATTTGGCAAAAGTTTTACGACCGGCCACCTGCCTGACGTCAACCCTCCTTGGGAATGCTATTGTCTTTCTTTGTCTGAATGGTGTTAAATATTATGCACTTTCGATTTTGTTGTGTTTTAAAACATTTTTTATACTATTAATTCAATTATTAATGTTATTTTTGGGTATATTTTAAAATAAATTTCGATTACACAATAAATTTTGTATTGACGTTGTCAAATTTTTTCTTCTACAAAAAAAAAAACAATTGGACTTTGCCCCTACTATCATGAAAGAGCACTTATGATTTCTCGGACTCCCCCTCCACCTTCTTGCGTAAGATTTTACCTAGTTTTAGAAAAGGATCAATCGCACTAAAACTCATAATTTGATGTAAATCAATGATTTTTATTTTTGTAATTGTACATTAAAAAAAAAAGATCTCAGAGTTGTTTCCCCCAACGCTTAGCTCTCAAATATCCATCAATATGTTAGAAATCGTACATTTAGACTTATAAAATATTACGTAATAACGGCTTTTACCCCCTCCTCCTTCCAAGATAAGTTCATGTAGAGATTTTGAGAACCCCTCTTCCCCCTTACGTAATTAATGAATGACAAGTTGAAAGTTAAAATTAAAAATCGAAGAATTTGTCATGGACAGAGGTCTAAGAAAAATTAACAGATAAAAATATAAAGAATCAAAATAAATTGACTCAAGAACAAGGACAGTGAACTTATTTTATAATTTAAAACTGAAACTGAAACAATTTAAATAATTTTTGTGCGTTACGCCAACTTTTCTCAGCAGAAATTAAATTGATAATACAAATATGTATGTAAAATGTTCAAATACAGCTGGTTTCGAAATGTATTGTAAGAATTTAATATAGTAAAACAATATGTACATAGAACAGAATATTATGCTACAAAAAAATTCAATGATTCCTTTATATATGCAGTTTTTTTTATTCAGGAATTTATAAATCTTTGTAATAAGCGAGATCTATTGGTCAAAATCATTACACTAACGCGTAATACAAACGTCGTCACATTCATTACGTAATGTGCCTTTTATTTAGGAAATTCATTTATTCATCGAACGTTATGGACGTTTATTGAAAACTATATAGACTTTAATATATATATATATATATATATATATATATATATATATATATATATATATATATATATATATTTGTTATTATAGCCTTCCTCAATAAAATCGGAGTAGTAGTTACTAAGCGTTCTAGTAAATCTAGTGATGGTTTTCAACAAAATATTTATATAATACTTCCTTAGATTTACGCGAAAATTTGACATTTTAAATAAAACTATCTTCTCGAATTTATTTGTGGATTTATCTTGATTTTTGTTTCTGACGTTTCGGATGCTTTAACATCAATCGTGGTCACGGAAAGGACTAAGGTTTTAGGTGTCTCAAAAGTTACAGAAAGTATCTATCTAAAATATGTTTACTTAAAAGTGCTATCCGATAAAAACCTCTACGACGACGTGTAGGTATATAACGACTTAAGTAAATATTTGTTAAATTTCAAAACAGTCAATTTCGCAAAAAAATTTTTCGACGAAACGGATATATTTAATGTGTTTACTTTATAATACATAAATTGGCGTCTTAAAACATGAATCATTCGAAGGTTTCAAATAGGATCTCATATAGTAAGTAGCTCGAGTCGTGGCAATGAATCATCTCTCTGAACTTGCACTACCTGTTTATAAATAAAACATTATGACTATGTCAATAGTAATGTGAAAGCTCAGTAATTGGTAAGAATGTAGGTGTTACGAATCTAAACTACTATTATTAAGAGGTAAATATTTTGAGTTTGTGAGGTTGTAGGGTGTAATCTCTGGATCTACTGAACCGATTTAGATGAAATTGGGTGAGATAGTTTGAGACTCTGGGAATTTTTTCATTTCAGAAATCATCCCTTAAGGGGGTGAAAAGGAGGTTAAAAGTTTGTGTTATCATTTCTCAAGTAAGGGATATACAAATCGTACCTATGTAGTATGTATATTGTATATATATAATACTACCGGCTCACCCTTGCTTCGCTCAGGTTCGCCTGTAGAAAAACAAAAACAAATCTATCCCACGGGGACCGTACATTTTTCCAGGATAAAAAGTATTTTTTGTGTTATTCCGATGTATGAGCTAAATTATAGTAAAGTTTCATCAAAATCCATTCCGTAGTTTTTGCGTGAAAGAGTAACAAACATACATCCAACATCCATATTCACAAACTTCCACATTTATAATATTAGTATTAATAAAAATAATAATGTACCGATTTCAACAATATTTAGTAAAGTGATAACTTATTACTCGAGTTAACATATAGGATATCTTTTGTATGTTTGTATGTACTCAGCCCTTTTTAACGTCCCACTGCTGGGCACGGGCCTCCCTTCAATACGAGGGGGATCAGGCCATAGTCCACCACGCTGGCCAAATGCGGGCGGACTTCACATGTCTTTCGAAAACTTGCTAAGTTCTTTCAGACATGCAGGTTTCCTTACGATGTTTTTCCTTCACCGTAAGGCAAGTGGTAATCATGTTAGAAATGATTCGCGCATGAAAATATCAGAGGTGCAAGACCCGGGATTTGAACCCGCTACACTCGGTTTCCCAAGCAAGCGCGTTACCACTGGGCTACCACTGCCTCAATATTAGTATATAATATAGATATAGTAAAAAAATAAAACGTAACCTAGGGATGAAACCAAGCGAAGCGAGGGTGAGTCGCTAGTATACTATCTAGTATCTATACATATAATAAAATTCTAAGTTGAATCTGTACATTAAATATTTTTTGGAAAATCTTATTGAAATAGACATTATTAATTATTATCGATACAGAGGCCGAATCTATAGTTTGTGGAATTTTTGTCTGTCTGCCTGTCTGTCTGGGAACGCATCACGAGGAAAGCACTGGACAGATTTTGATGAAATTTAGTATGATGATAGCTGGTTATCCGGGTAAACATACATATAGGATACTTTTTACTGCGGGAAAATATCTCATCTCTGAGAAATCTATACTAAATGCTAAAACGTAAAGTATAAATACACAACGGTTATCAGTTTACTCAGATAATTAAAATTCATTTTATATCAGACACGTGCCACTCAAGCGGGATAACTTATAATACAATTTTAATTTAAATATTTATGATTAAAATTAATATAATATTTTTGTTTCAGCTACACCGCCAGTACTGGAAAGCCTTGTTGACAGATCTTAATACGAGCACATCAAATATAGAGCGACAAGTTTTTAATGGTCGCACGGTACCATATATGCGTATGAGCAAAAAAAAAACGATTACAAAGGTTACTTAGCACAAGTTTGAAAATAAATACAGTATTTAAACATTGATATCTTACATCGCAGCGCCTCTATCGAAATTACAAGCAAACCAGAATTTTCAATACATTTCAGAAAAACATGCTTTTGATCAATTTTTATGTATAAATATGTGGAAAAACTATTAAAATGAGCTCAAACTGAAAAGTTTTAACAGTACATTGAAGAGTTCCACTGTCTTAAATGACCTTACCGTCAGATCACCTTAATGGCATTAAATCATTGCAATGCCACCCATATACTTAGAAAAATCATATCGATTCGGAAAAATCGATTCAATTCGTTTAAAGATTAAAATCGACTTCCAAAATACAGTCATGAAATCAATAATAACATTTAAAAAGTGCTAAGAACAAGGATTTGCTTTCAAGAGAAGTGTGAGTGACTCCGAAGTGACCGGTCTATCAAGGGTTTAACTTTATTTTAAGTACTTTCTTTTATTTAGCTTATAAGACATTAATTTATTTTAAGTAGGAATCGATCATTACCATTTATATGTATATTGATAAGCTTTAGTTATTTAAATAATACTTTATTGTTTAGAAATGAAATAACAATGTCTGTTATATACATATATATGTATAGAGGTTACAGAGAATTTATATAATATGGTGAAGGTACTCAACAGAGTGCATGGCCCCCCTGTTATAATCATCTGCCGCGCTCGGATAAATCCCAAAATCCCATCTTGTGCTCCTCTACTATTAGTATATATAAATGTATCTATTAACAAAACTTCGACTTCCATTGTAGAACTTGGAGTTTTGTGATAAGTACGGTTAAGACTCTCTATTTAAATTAAATATATAATTATGAAAATTAATATGCCAAAAATTAAAATAATAGTATATTTAAGCTTCATAATGTTTAATTTAATTCAATTCTAAACGATGCAATCTGAAACTCATTGGTTGTGGAACTAGCAATCAGTCATAAGCTTGTTCAAAATCAATTTCTTTCTTTTGTAATAGCACAGATCATATAATACTATACTAGTAGTAATAGTGTATTTATTAACTTCACACAAAATATATTGGAATGTATAATTTACTAGCGACTCACCCTCGCTCGGCTCGGGTTCGTCCCTAGTTACGGTTTAAGCTTTAGTATAGATTTGTCAGAGATATCTTCCCGCAGTAAAAAGTACCCTATATGTTGACCCGGATAACTAGCTATCATCATACCACATTTCATCAAAATCTATTCAGTGGTTTTCTTGTGATGCGGAAACAGACAGACAGACAGATAAAAATTCTAAAAACTATAGATTTGGCCTCTGTATCGACAATAATGTCTATTTCAATAAGATTTTCCAAAAAATATTTTATGTACAGATTCTTGTACCTACATAGTATTTATTAGTAGTAGTATTGATTAGGCCAAATGAGACTGGCCGATGTGGTGTGGACATTATTATGTAAGGTTTCGCTATTTTAATATGCCCATAATAAAATATTTATTAATTGATTATACTGGCCATACTGGCGACGCAAAACGCGTACATTATGATACCTTTATAAATCAGGCAGTACTGCCTCGGTGGTGTAGTGGCTAGCATGTACGGCTGCACACCCGGAGGTCCTGGGTTCGAGTCCCGGGTCGGGCCAAGTTCAGTTATTGAGTCTTCCTGTATAGTAAGTCTCAGTAACAGCCCGGAGTTGGGAAGTTGGCGGTGTTTCACCCCCGTGCCTCGGAGAGCACGTAAAGCCGTCGGTCCTGCGCCTTAACTCTCACCGGTCGTGTCGAGTGGTCGTCCCACCGGAGTATGAGAGTGATAGGAATAGAGAGTGCACTTGTGTCTGCGCGTACACTTGAGCACTATAATATCTCCTGCGCAGTTGGCTAATCTCATTGTGATTGGCCGCCGTGGCCGGAATCGGCTAGGAGAACATCATCATCAAATCAGGCAGTTAAAAATAACTGGAATGTTCAGGCTGAAAAATAAAAAATAAAAATAGAATTAAAAATAAAAAGAATAAATAAACAAAATGGGGGATTGACCGGCGGGGAATTTACACGGATGGACGACAATGGACATGCTTTCCGTGATTTTTAACTGGAGCAAAGAAATAAGAAATCGTTGAGAATAAGTGTTTCCTAATAAATTGTAACTAAATCTAGTTAAAATATATAAGTTTTGAAACATGATCCTGGCTTTTCCTGAGATATCCTACAATTATAACATAATATTTTTCTTTTTAAGTACCTACTTATTAATCATTGAATAATTTTTTGTTTACTTCTTTAGAGATAATAAAACGGTACTTATTATTATACATATATAATACATAAAAATTATATATTCCATTTTATATAGGTCACTGTGATATCCATGTTTGCCATAAAAATTGTAAAAGTACTCTTTTTATTATAAGTCATACCTATAACTTGATTGTTCATAATTATTTGAAGATGATTTTTTCGAATTGAATTAATGTTATTAATTATTATATGTATAAATTAATAAATATTGAATTATTAATGGCTTTTATTATTTATTCTCCATTAATGAAATAACCTATAATAATATTCTAATGTGAAAGTCTGTCTGTTTACTTTTCAAACAATCTACTGAATCGATATTGATAAAGTTAAGTATTGAGTGTCGTTTTTCTCATATTTAAACAGCCACAACTATGTATTACTTTAAAAACTTCTTTTTTTTAGGGAAGCCAACAGTACAATATTACATAAATAATAAATGACTAGCGGAAAAACAAAAATGAATCTATCCCACGGGAATCGCACATGTTCAGGAATAAAAAGTAACCTATGTGTTATTCTGGGATTTGGGAAGGGATTATATATGGGAGCTATATTATTATAAACTTTTATTTAAATCCATTCCGTAGTTTTTGCGTAAAAGAGTAACAAACATCCATACATCTATACATCAGATATCCGTGCATCCTCACAAACTTTCGCATTTATAAGCAATGTTAGTATAAAAGTATAATAAGACGACACATAAACCAATCAAGTTTTCACTTATAACTAACACAAATAAGAAGCCAAAGACAAAGCAAAGTTCATAATTAAAAGCAATTTAAAGCAAATAATATAGGTAATTCATTTTTAACTTAACTTACCTTTACCACTAACTTTGGTGGGTTGGGTGAGCCTTGAATCAAATACTTTGAATTAGTTGAATATACTGAGCTTCTCTCTAATTATTAACCCTTTTAAAGATCAGTAATTGCTCTCAAAACTTGTCTTCAATGAGAGATCCTCATAAATTCCATCTTAACTAAATTAATTAATATATAAGAAGCTTTTTCTTAATATTTTTTGTTATTATTTGACAAAAATGTTTTACTGACCAGATATTTTAGAGGTAAGCAAGTGTTTGAGGGCTAATTGGATGCGTGCCACAGAATATGTTAACACGCGGTTTCGAAACGCCGGACAAGTATGTATTTTCACGTACAGATTCGTTTATCGTATATGTCGAGGCATGGCTTCAAATTCTGTCAGATTCCTGATATATATCTGACCAAACAACCTTACCATTTAAAAGTCCAAAAGAGAATGACATTACACAAAACTTATTTAACAATTAAACTTCGATATCCATCAATATCGTTATCATTTTACAACTTGTTAGTGCTATCATTTTACAACTTGTTATAAATATAATTTAAACTAGCAGAACCCGCGGCTTCGCTCGCGCTAAAATCTAAGACTAAAAAACTCTAAAAAGGTAGGTTTCATATAAACTTTCATGCCCTATTTTACCCCTTTATGGAACGAACTTCGAAAAACACGTATTTATTTTATCATATTGAAGAGAATTAATACCAAGTTTGAAGTAATTCTGATCACAAATATTTTTTTTGGTTGTATTACGTGTTTTCTTTTTGGAATGAGATAATCTCACGCTGTAAAAAGTAGCCAATCCGTCACTCCTCCGTCCGTTTCGACGTGAAAGAAGGACAAGCAAATAAACAATCAAACACACTTTCACATTTATATTATTTATATTTATAATATAATATTAGTATGGATAATAAAAAGAAATTATGATTACATTGGCAATTAATAGGATTATTTTTACGTTTTAGCTGATTTTTTTCATCACATAAGTACGTAGATAAGGGGACATCAGATAGATCCACTTTCATGCCCTATCATATAATTCCATATTTCAACTTTAAGCGGACGTGGATATTCGGGCGACGAAAATGAGTTGTTACTTTATATCACATAATATAATTACAAAATTCTTATGCATTGATTGGACACTGATAGTTCTATAACCGTTTTATACGAAAGTCAATCATGTACTTGAGTTCATCTTCCTTTATCAAAAGACACTCCACCAGACACGTAACGCGATATTAAGCGAAAATTATAATCTTGATGTCGGCTACCGATTACTCGCCACGCTAGCGCTTGGTGTTGCATCAGAGTAAATATGACAACCACCTTTCTTTTTCATCGATGATAGATATAAATTGACAGTTTGAGTGGCCATTTACTCTTAAGTAGTCAAACGCGCCGTCATATATATACCTACATATTTATAAGTAACTATCATCAGTAGTGTATTGGTCATATTTGATTGTTGTCAATGTCACACAACATATTGCTAAATGGTTTGTGTATATTAATAATCAAGTAATGTGTCAGCACTACGTATGTAGGTATAGTGTAAAATTTCCATATAATATTTATATTCATTTATTCATCTATACATATAATAAAATTCGACTAAGTCGAATCTGTAGATTCAATATTTTTTGGAAAACTTTATTATAATATATAAATAGTCATTATTATCGATACAGAGGACGAATCTATAGATTTTAGAATTTTCGCCTATCTGTCTGTCTGGGAACGCATTACAAGATAACCACTGGACAGAT